AATTGAGTGATAAAAAAGCAATTAACGTCAAAATATGTTACAGGCCCTCATTTGACATAATTATCAACTCATGGGAAATAATGCTTAATATTGTGCCTACCCGCATTTTTATATCAAAGGACTAAATTGGTAAAGATAAATTCTGCTCGGTGAACCCCCATATTTCACACTCACTTACGTTAAAACAAAAAGGCTAAAAGTTTTAATCGCATGGCTATTTTAATACTATTTGGTTTGTGCTTACAATATTTATTTCATTTAAAGAAAAATGGTTTAACGTCGTATGTCTTTGTGTAAGAATTGTTTTGGAATTGCAATTACAAAGATAAAAAGCTGTGGAAATATGACTATTCACTTTGAGTTTAGCCTGCTTATAGCTGAAGGTGAAGCAAAAATCTGGAAATGGTTAAATATGAAATGCTGTCACAATTCTAAACAACATGTTATGCTGCGGTTGATCATGATAATAATGGCGTTGCGGCATTCCAGGAATAACATAAGTAGCTGATGTAACCCCAGAAATGCAGAGAAAACACGATAGCTAGACTATCTTTCAGCTTATACAAAATTATTACTTATATTTTGCCATGACATTATTATAATTTTATTGGTTATTATTATTTATTTTATTTATATAATTATTTGTTATGTGTTACACGTCTAATCGCCGTTTGGTGTTACAATATTACATAAACTGATAAATCATCGATCATATTAATTTTAATTAGAAATATTTTAAATTGCCCATCATAATGATTAATGATTTGAATTTTTATAAAGTTACCATGGAATCTTAGTTAGAACTAGAATCAAACGCCAGAGCCCCATCATACAGTGACAAACTAAGTTTTATAGAAATGTATTTTCGACACAATTGCTTATTCATTGACATTTTATGTTCATTTTTCATTCATATTTCCGTTTAAATACGCACCTATGTGGTGTCTGATTTCAATGATGATTGACATTAATTGATAATAATCTCAGAGAATATGTAGTTTTATGTAAATTTACATTTTATTTAGCTCATGAAATATACAAATACTTAAGTATAACAACTGAAATATTATTTACTAGATATTATGGATAGAATTTACGTATTATTAAGTATAGGATTGTTGCCAAATGGTATATCAGTTGTTTTATTTAGATAATAAAATATAAATACGTTTCAAAAGTAACAGGTAGTAACAATAGTGTAGCAATCGTAATTTTATGACTAAATTATGTAACCAAAACATTTCAAAGAAGCTTGGTTGAAATGATCCATTCGTTCACAATGTCAATTTTGTATATTAATAATTATATTTTCTTGTTTTAATTTTCCAATCACGTTATGACATCGTTCGCGATCCATACAGTTAAAAAGAGAGGTAATTAACATATTTAATGTAGATAGTTTATTATTTTTAGTTAAAAAATACAATACAACGTTTGTTTGCAAAATATTTTTTCTTGCTTACAGTAAAGATATTGTATCCCTATTCATCCCCCCATTGTATATCCCCATTGTATCCCCTGTAAGGAATAGGAATGATACACTAGGATGTAAACAGAGTATGATGTTTCAGCTGACTGTGTACTTAGTAGGATGGATAGTTAAGAATATCTTATTATTCAGACGGGTTTATTTCTAAACTCTATTAGACTAAAGGAGACTTAAGTGGTATTATATGATAATTATAGTAAAGATTTTGCCAGATAAATGGAAATTCGATTAGTCTACAGGTATGAGGGATGTTTTTGAGTAGTGTACGCTTAAAAGTTACAGACAGAGTAAAAGTTTAGCTAGTTATTGGATACATTTGATAATGTATTTTCAAAAACTTTTATAATTAAATTTTAACACTCTACATAAACAGTTTCTTGCAATGTAGCTGCAAACCTAAGTACATGTTTGACCAAAAATTATCTATGTAGAAAATAAATCTTAGATGTTTGAGGGAACGTTAAATTTAAAATCTTCCTATACGCATTTGAATTAGTCTGCAGGAATTTTGTAACAGAAATAATAGTTTTTTTGTTAAATTCAAAATATTTTTTAACCAAAGGCTGACTTTCAATTAAAATTATAGAAGATATGCTTGGTGTGATTTTAAGTGCTACAAAAAAAGTTTTAGAGGAATAGCATGCTTGACCAAAAATATAATACATTACTTCTACTTAGGATATCATGCAGCCACCGAGACACAAAATGAAAAAAAAACCCTTATCTAAATGCACCAAATAATTAAAGTAAATGCATGTGTCATAATATTTCCACCACATCAAATATAACAGTGATGATCTCACTTTGATTGCTATATCACCACAAACGCTTCTATGATGGTTCATCACCCGCATTTCATAGAATGAGAGACACATGCTGGTAGGAAATGTTACATTATATGCTTGTTAGATAAAATTACATGAGTTTTGTATTCCTGTTTTAGTTGCAATATTGTGTTACTTGAAATGCATGCTAAAATAAAGGGCTCATTAGGTACTAAAGATAATACTTTATGACCTGTTTATAGGGCAGATAAATGGCATAGTAAAATATATCTAAAACGTATGTAATGAAGTTTTCTACATAGACCCAGGAAATCGTAAAAGTTTCTTGATAATAGTGCATACAAAAATTATCTTGGAGATAAGATATAAACGTAAAAAAAACTAGTATTTAATATTTATTACATTTTATAGGAAAGAAATGTATACGTTTTGAAGATGTGCCAAAAAATGATTCAAATAAATAACCCCGCTCAGCAAACCTGCAGACTAACCGAATTTGAATTTGTCTGGTTGGATTGTTACTAAAACACTTCCATAAACAATACATACTTATTCCACTTTAAACATTATTGGTGCTGTGGGTAAGGTAAAAGTGGGTTTTTACCAAAGGTTTAGGATAAAATAAATAAATTTGACAAATTTGAACGACATATAAACATAACATAAACATAAACAACATAAACATAAACATAAACAAGTAAACTACAACAGTTTTTCTTTTCTCCATTAAATTAAAGTGGGAATTAAATTGTACAATTTTCTCCGTTACCTTAAACTGTACAATAGCACTTTACTGTACATAATTATTAAATTTCTCTACCATACACGATAGTTGTAACCAAAATTGGGCATTTCAATGTTTCAGGGGGGAAATTGAAAAAAATAATCTGGATTTTGAATTTCGTAATACTATAATGCTCCACTTCCTTCACCCGATCCTGCTGGTTCAGGAACTAATTTAAGTGTGCTCTTTCTACATTTTTATGCCAAATTCCACCGAAATCTGACTAAAATTTGTCAAAGTATTTTTTAAAGATAGTGTTTTTGGCCTTGGGTACATCAAATGAAAAAAGTATATCGATCCTGGGTCTAGGTCTTACCATTCCACCTACGGTGATAGCTACTTTCATGTGAGTAAATTTACTAAAACTTAAACCAAGTAGCTTACATTGATGACTATGAAAATTATACAATGTTTAATCTGGAGAGTATCTAATTTTAAAGTTACCTATATCTAGGAAACAATGCAAACTAAACACATTCGAATTTCAATATTATTTCAGTTCAACATTTAGAAACAATGCAGGGTGATTGGTACTCAGTGTGAAACAAATTTTTTGGTGTAAGTACAAAGTAAATGAAGTGTGATGATGCATATCAAATGTTCCAAGTCTAAAAATTAGCTTCCCAAAAAATTATTTTATGTTTTTTAAAAATAACCATGCTTTAAAACTTAATACAGTGATTACTCAATTACCTGTATATGGATTTGAGTAGATAATGTCATTTTCGTGTTCTACATTAAATTTTGAACAAGAATAATAGAAAATGGTAGAGGATCAGTTGTAAAAACTCCATTGCAAATAGATTAAAAGATAAAAATTAAGATGTTTGATAAAAATTTAAAAAACAATGGTCTATTGCATTTTTCACACCCTGTATACAAGAAAGTGTCGGAATATGTTAAAAACTGTGGCATTTTATAAGCTTTCCAACCATATGCTACACCATTGAACTTTATGTCTGCTTATCTATGCTTTAGTGGTTTGAAGACTACAAAACATGGTGTCTTTTACATTTAAAACATAGAAAGTTGGCATATAAAAGTTGTATTTTTGTTTCAGCTTGAACAGTAAAAACAGTAAAAAGTTCCCTGTTTTCTGGTATTCAATCCACTAAAACAAACAAAAAAAATATCTAAACCTCACTAGTGTAGCATATGATTGGAAAGCTTATAAAATGGCGCAGTTTTTAACATATACCGAAGCTTTATTGGATACAGGGTGTGAAGAATGCAATAGACCATTGTTTTTTAAATTTTTATCAAACATTTTAATTTAAATTTTTGGATGTATTTACAATGGAGTTTTACAACTGATCCTCCGTCATTTTCTATTATTCTTGTTCAAAATTTAATGTAGAACACGAAAATGACATTATCTACTCAAATCCATATACAGGTAATTGAGTAATCACTATTAAGTTTAAAAGCATGGTTATTTTTGAAAAACATAAAATAATTTTTGGGAAGCAAATTTTTAGACTTGGAACATTTGATATGCATCATCACACTTCATTTAGTTTGTACTTACGCCAAAAATCTTTTGTCACAATGAGTACCAATCACCCTTTATATAATCTGTTTATATTTGTTTGAGTATTTCTCTCTTTAGCTACATAAAATTTTAATTAAATCCACATTTTCTAAATTTATTTTTAAAATTAAATATAACACTATAAACTGTATCAATACCTATGGTTATCCATGTCTGTAGTATTCTATTTAACAAACATTTTCGGGATATGTTTACTGTAGTGTACAATAATAACAACTAGTTTGCTCTGTTCGTGCTTCGCAACGGGATGAGGATGCGCACTTCTCATCCTGTAGATGATAATAACACGGTTCTTTAAATTTACCGTAAACCCTGTTGAAATACCCCTCTCATTGATTATAGAAAGCAAATCTGAATTGTACCGTACTGAAAGTTTTAACGATTACTCACCCCATTCTGGAAATAAAACGTTATTGGAATGTCTTTCATTGTAGACACGGAAAATAAAAATCTTGTAAATTTTAAGGATTCAAACATTCAGTTAAAAAATTCAGCAAACAATTCAAATTTTAAAATTTAGTATATATTTATCCAACAACATTTTTGAAAGTGAGATACATGAGTTCAATTTTCACATTGGATATGTTACAATAACATTGAGCAACTCTGCAGCTGATTTAACACAAAATGTCATGACAAAAGCTTAACTATTAAGGCTGTGTTTGTCCATGGTTGTCATGTTGCCAACATAAAAGTGGAAACGGCATTGCGGTCTTCCACAAAGAAACAATGTGTTGATGTAACCAAAGTAATATTGAAGGATCACGATAAGCTACAAGACTCTCAGCAATAATTATATTTCTAATACTTACAACCTTTTATTTTTTATATGATTTTCGTAAATAATATTAGTTTCAAATAGTTGATTTGCCAATTTAATTAAAAAAAATTGTATCTCTTCTTAATGCATCACTATTAAAATCAATTTTTATATTGTTTTACATATATTGTTTATGTTTTGAGATGTATAGAGGGATACATGTCTTTGTTCAGGTCTCCATAAAGAAAAAGGAGTTTTCGTATAGTTCAGACGGAGCGGAAACGTCCATCAGATATATTGCAACACAACAACACAATTTTTTCCTTACATTGTATTTCTCGACACTTTAAGTAATTTTAGTTAAAAATCAATTATTTAAAATTTAAATTATAGAATATAAAAAAATATGTCATAGTAAAACAATGTTAAAATAATTAATTTACCTGTCTGGTAAAAATTAAACAAGTACTAAATCGTTTGTTGTATTTCACACCTCACCTAAACCAATAAAAGTATTATTGATTAATTTAGGCACTCTTTAATAGTATCAATAAATTTAGATTTATATATTTTTGATTGAGAACCATTTATTATAACATAAATTGATTAAATTGATTCTAGAATGAACGGCTTAGTTAGTTTTTTTATTAGCTATTTTATATTTATTTGACTAAAGATTATGATTACAATTTTAATTAGGTAGTACGTTACTATCTAAAGGCAAATATTTCAAGAATATAAGATTAAATCTCTGTGGATCTAGAACTTAAGTCTTTTAAATATAAAGACATCCCCTAACAACCCTAATATAAAGACGAAACATAAAATAAAAGCAAAACATTTTGTAAATTAAATCACAAAAATACATTATAATCTGTTTATATTTGTTTGCATCTTTTCATGTTAGGAGTCCAGTTAGTTTTTAAGTTCATGGAAAATACTCTATTAACACAAATTTCCTCTAAAACACAGTTGATGTACGGTATTTTTTTTTCATAAAATATTTTTAGTATCCACCAGTAATTTCAGTTCAACCAGAGATTTTACTTAGTTTGGCAGATAAGAGTAAAGATATTTTTAGTGAGATACATTTTGTAGCATTAAGAATAAGCAATGAAAACCATAATTAATACTAAAAAATAAAATTAAAATTATAATCTTATTAGTCATTAAATTTGAACTGTCCATAATATATCAATATGAATACGATTTATAATAAAATTTACTATGCAGTGAACATTACACGTAGTGTAGTATTTGTTAACAATGATTGACGTAATTTGTCTGTTTTTTAATTGTTTGATTCTAACGATACTTCATTTATTCGCTTACCCATTACTTTTTAATTCAACAATTACGTGATTAATAACGTATTACAATAAATGCAATTCTCATTAGTAGTCTATGTTAAATAAAATTTGTCAGTTTAACAAAATTAAAGCTGGAGAGATATTTTGAAATAAAATTAGGTAATAATGGTTTTACCATAATTGATGGAATATTTGTTAGAAAAAACTAGTTTTTTGATTGATCATCTCCATATTTTAAGAATCAATAAATACTTCTTGGGAGAACAATGTCTGGATTATTTGAAACCTTTAATTTATTATTCGTTTCATCGAGCTTATAATAATAATTTAACGAAACAAATAGTTAATTTAAAAGAGACATTGTCTAGTAGGCCCCATTCATGTTGAGGATAACGTGATGCTTTAGATATAGGCACGTATTGTTCCCTGAGTTTAGAAGATAACCTCTTTGTATGTAACCGGTCATCCACACAGATGATATTGACACTTGACCTTTCATGCTTTTATCAAATCATAATATAAAAAATGTCATTTTCAAAAAACATTGGGACACAATATCATAGATTATCACTTTGAAAACTGTTGAGATTAATTATTAAAAAATTGTTGCTATCAAACGATTAATGTTTACTGGTGGAAACTTCATAATCCCTCATAAAAGATCTCAAATATTTTATTGTATTTATCCATGTCAGTTAAAAACATAATTAATCCATCAATGACATTTTCCCCATGCATAGTTATTAGTTTACGAGTTGCATAATTTTGTTACTTAGCGTGTAAATAGTCTCATACATCCGTTAAAAGCATTAATTTTCATCAGGGCAAAGAGGCAAAAATTATTTCCTCTCGTTAAAATGACGTATAAGTAGCGAACGACATTAACGTCCATGCTATTAACTTGTTACTTACCCTTAGTACACTACACTACCTACACCACTACGCTACTTACCCGTACTTCTGACAAATAATAATGTTGTTAAGGTTAATCCGTCCATTCAAATTTTTTTACGGAGTACTAAAATGTACACAATAATTTTGGACCTTAGGTTATTTTTTAAATAGAGTTTAAGTAAAAAATTATGACTATTTTGTGTTTTAAGCAGTTTATTCACAACAATGCAACGGGGTATGCATTCTTTTGAAAGATGGAAACTAAAATTAAAACTATTAGCCAAAGAAAAATTAATAAGTAGGTGTTTAGTTTAATAATAACTGTGTTTATGTGTAACTCCCCTGAAATTTTTTTTCTGTGTACATAAAATTTAATGGTGTTTCAGAACTCCCTACCTACCTTTTAAGGTATTATGTCATTGTTCTTATCAAATATAAATATCACATTTTAATTTTGTTAAACCTATGACCTGCACTTTTTTAAACATCGATTTTTAATAGCAACAGATTTTTTACGCAAAATGTTAAAATTCTTCTCATCAACAAACACTATACGAGCCCCCCCCCCCAAACCACCACAAAGTATACAGAAATGTTGGCAGTAACACACCACGATAGTTAATTACTAAAGTGGAACCTCGATAACAAGACTCTTGATGACATGTCAAACTTAATAAAAAGTGTCATTTTCAAATCTTCTTGGGAAAATTTCACCCCTAATATAATGCTTATTGCAAATCTCGATAAAGCCATTTAAGATAAGAAAGTTTTAAGATTTTTAAATACCACCTTGGAATGTCATTTTACATAAATCACTTCTCATATGACGTTTCGTCATGTATAAATTACTACGTTTGAGAAACCCAACGTTACAATTAATTGTATGTCATTTAATATATTTCGAGGTCCAAAAATGTTCAAAAAAATTTGTAAACATTGACTAAAATAAAGGAGAATTGTTCAAATGTTGTAACATGAGGTGTTAACTGGACTTTCTATTTGCTGATTACAAGGAAATTACGCTTGAAAAGTTTAAAACGAGTTGTATGAAACGTCATGCAATCCAAACACCCCCTCACTTGAATGACTTGTTTTGTGCAGACTTTTAAACACGGTTTTATTTCATTTAGATTTAATGAATACCCCATGTTATCATAGTCATATAAGAAAATGAAATTCCATTATGGCACTTCACTGTCTTGAGGTAAAATTAACATTGGTGACCTTGTGGTTCAAACCCCAGGAATATTACATAACAGCATGTTTATTCAAAAGTTAATTTTCAAGAGTATACAAAAGAATATTTATTGGGTTTTAGGATATTATTTTAATAGGAATGATATGTGTACGCATTAAATAAAGAGCTGACATTAAATAATTGGGTTTCATTGCACTACAATTCAATAACTTTTCGTTTTACAACTGTTGTAAAAAGTGTAATGACTTTCCACAGAAAAATAAAGATCATTAAAAATATACTATCTTCTTAATGATCTACGAAAAGATGGGGAATAATCTAAACAATCTACTACTAATCATCTGATATAACAAAGAATTGACCTTTAATAAAGCATAACTACAATTAATAGGTAAACATTACGCGTAGTGTAGTATTTGTTAAAATATATTTACACTTTATACTGTTGACTTACAAGACGGTAAATACATATAAAAGTTGGTAAGTGGTGATCGATTTCGATTGGACACTCCAATCATCATCAGACCCAATAGGCGAAGGTCTGATGATGATTGGAGTTTCAAATCGAAATCGATCACCACTTACAAACTTTTATATGTATTTACCGCCTTGTAAGTCAACAGTATAAGTGTAAATATAATATTACAAGCGTTATTAGACGTATATATTTTTGATTTTTTAAGGTAATTTAATAACACGTACGATGCTGATCAAGAAGTTATTTATTTGTTAAACTAAATACTATTCAGTTCTATAACTAAGAGCAAACTGGTACAATTAACGGGACAATTAAACAGGATTTACTTATTAAACAATTTAGTTTACTTGATTTTGTTCCCCTCAAAGCAAGCTAGACAGACAGTTAATTTAGCCCTGGTAAAGCTATGTATAATCTAAATAAGAGACTTCGCTTACTTCCACTACAATCTTGTATTTAAAATCAAATATTGTTCCGGGTTTTCAACAAATGATCAGGACAGTCTCAAGCATAAACCAGACTAATACCTTTTGACCTTTAATGTTCTGTTGTGTTTTTTTTATTGACTATATACAATGTTCATTTTTACATGTCATAACTGTCAATCTTTGTTTCAAATTTGTATATATGATTTCTTTGTGTACTGTGCATTTTTCATAATATTTTACGCAAAAGAGAAGTGTTACATTTATTCAAGCTGCAACTTGTGGGAAACTACACCACAATAAAAAGCCGCACCACCTCACGTTTGTAAC